AATTAACATATACCGTAAAATTTGCTCAATTTAAATTTCTAATACGGTAAACATCAGTACATATAACCCACACATGGCAAAGTTCTTTGGGGTCCTCAATAACTTTTAAGAGAGTATAGGATCCTAAAACCAGTTTGCGGACCATTGTTATACGACAATTGAAAACAAATAGCAGTGTCAGCAGAAATTCTCATCTCATAAACTAACAGGAAAATGTAAGTTCCACATCCTGTTCTCCCAGGACCTCTTGTAACTCGGGGACGCCTTGCTTGGCCTGCCGCCCTGAAGTCCCTTTTCATCATGCTTTTCCCTCCTTTCTGGGAAGAGGCTGCTAGTTGTCCCCCACTATCCATTCTTTCTTTCTTTTATAATAAAAGCACCCCGGATATTTGCCTGGCACACGACTGCCTGGGAAAACCCAGACTGAATCTTTGGCCTCATACCTAGGTGTAGACATGAATCTAAACCCCGGCCGATGGCGCGCGCACATGTGGGAGGTGGCCTTGGGGCAGGGGGCGTGCCTCCTTCTCCTCTCGTTTCTGCTAAGGGAAGGTGCACGTGATGGCGCTACTCTGTTACAGTGCGGGGGGGAAAAGCAGCACGCTCTACGGTCGGGAGATGTGGAAAATGGGAAGGAACCCGAGCGCTCGATGACTTTGTAGAACTGCCACCCTAACTCATGTGACAGCCAGAGGGGACACTGACACCCCCACAGATCTCAAGATGCTTGCGCATGTGATCACTCATTCCAGGGGACACAGAGCTGCCACCGAGAAACCTGGAGTGCGGGGAAAAGCAGCACGCTCTACGGTCGGGAGATGTGGAAAATGGGAAGGAACCCGAGCGCTCGATGACTTTGTAGAACTGCCACCCTAACTCATGTGACAGCCAGAGGGGACACTGACACCCCCACAGATCTCAAGATGCTTGCGCATGTGATCACTCATTCCAGGGGACACAGAGCTGCCACCGAGAAACCTGTACTATGAGAAAGTTCTGCTAAGCCAACAGGTGGCCCCGAGGTGGTCGGGGTGCGTGACTTCCATCTGGAGAGCAGCCTGGACACATGCGACCCTCCCAAACACCCCTGGCAGAAAAAGAACCCTGCCGGATATTTTATTATTCACTCGTCAAGTCAGCTGAATTTACGATTTAACTCTATGCTGACTCCTTAGATTGGACCGACGACTCTCGTCCCCCTGATCGAGGTCCTGCCTTACACCGAAAACCAGAACAGCCTGTCGCTGACAAAGGTCATGCCGATGTGGGTCCCACTAGGAGAGGCAGCTGAACCGTGCAAAGGACAGAGGAGGGCGAGAAGGACGATGAGACCAGATTTAGCTGACATCCACGAACCGACCGCTCCGTCAGGCGCCTGTGGAGTTGTTTTCATACGTATTATCTCCCCAAGTTTTACAGCCGCCCTCCCAGGAGATAGGTATTTTATTGAATCTAAGATGATTACATAGATTACATACAGAGTGACTCACGCTGGAATATTTCATTTTATTATCCCATAAATACATCAGAATGAATTTCTAAAAAAATAGCTTTTTAAAAATAAAGGGACAGCAATACCATTATCACATGTTTTTAAAAATCGACGTTAATTCCTTAATATCATCAAATACCCCGACAGTTAGTTTGGATGAGGATCCCGTCACGGTACACGTTTTATTTGATGTGCCTCAAACCTCCTAATTCACAGGATGCTCCTCCTCTTCCTTTTCTCCTTGCGATTCATTTCTTAAAGAAACTGAGTTGCTCGTCCTGTAGAATTCCCTACAAAGGTTTTATCCCTATAGCGTCATTTAACGTGTTCCTCTGGCCTCTGTATTTCCTGCAAACTAGAAGTTCTACCTGGAGCCCTGATGGGATCTGGGTTCGAGGTTTTGATAAGGGTGTTCCACAGGTGGTGGTTTGCTCTTCCTACGGCTTCAAGGTTGATCCACGAGTTCAGGTGCTGCCAGCCCGACCCGGTCATCAGAGAGTTCCCCAATCACGTTTCATCCGATGGACTTAGCGGCCACTGATGCTCTTTACCTAGATCCTGTCTATCATTCGGGATGGTAAAATGATGACATTCTTTTTTTAAAAGCAGGTTTACTGAGGTACGATTTATATAGAATAAAACTAATTCTTTTGAGTAAAGAGCGTTGTACGTTTTGACAGGTGTATGGAGTCATGTAATTATCACAAAAATCAATATACAGAACATCTCCGTCACCCAAAAAAGTTCTGCGGTAAACCCCTTCCTCCGCCCCACCTCCTGGCAGCCGACGATCTCTTTTCTGTCACTGTAGTTCTGGCTTTTCTAAAATGTCATACAAATGGAATCTTACACCGCACAGTATTCTGTGTCTGGCTCCTTTTCACTCAGCATAGTGTTTCCGAGATCCATGCGCGCAGTGAGTACCAGGAGCTCTTTTCCTTCTAATTACTGAGTAGTGCTGAATGCATAGACATGACTGGTTTGTGAATCCAATCATCGATTGATGGACATCTGGGTTGTGTCCAGTTTTGAGCTACCATGAATATAACTGCTACGAACATCACCGTACAGATTTTTGTGTGATCTAAGGTTTTCAATTCTCTGGGAATTGGTTAGAAAAATTGTCTCGTATGTAAAAAACTGTCACTGTTTTTCAAAGTGGAGGTGCGATTTCACATTTCCACCAACGACTAGTTGCACAGCCTCATCTTTCTTTGGTACCGTTGGCTTTTTTTTTTAAATTTTAGCCATTCTAGTGCATGAGCAGTGGTAACTGTGGTTTTAATTTGCATTTTCCTGATAACTAACGATTTGAGCATCTTTTCATATGCTTGCTGGACCATCTCGTATCATTTCTGATGGAGCAATTTATTTAAACATTTTATCCGCTTTAAATTAGATTGTCTTCTTATTGAGATGTTAAGAATTATGATCATCCCAATTCTATAGTCCTTTGAACATTTAATAGTTGTAATTCTATAAGGAATGTTTCTTTCCTCCATTGTTTTGTGACCATGTGGTATGATGTGTACAGGAAACAGGATAAATGCCTTATTCTTCTTTACTCTTTGCCAGTTTCACGAATGTTCCCTCGCGTCACCCCGTGGGGACCACTGAGCTCCTCGTTGTGATTTTCATTATGGACTTTCATTAGGCACCTTATGGATTTTCGTGTTTTAAGTATGTCAATAATCGTAGCTTCATTCTTTTTTGATGATCGAATTATCTCATCTTTGACTAGTGGGAGGTCTTTCACGTTGGTCCCTCAGTCTTTCTGACACAATTATGGTAGTCACTGACAGTTTGCTCACTAGTGTGACAAGATTTCCTGCCCGTGTAGTAAACAGTCGGGTCTTGCCCGCAGAGAGCTCTGGCCTTTGCCCTCGGCTTCTCAGATGGAATCTCAATCTGGGAGGCAATGTCATACCTGATAGAAATGTCTTTATTTGGGGTGGCCTTTATGAGTGGGGCCTGCCACATCTGGTCTCAGGGGGAGGGCTGGCTAAGCCAGAAAGACCGATTATGTGATTCCAGGTGGGAGCTTCGGGTCACGTGGTATTGGCTAGCCTGGAGACTAAGCTCAACCATGCACGTAATCAATCAATCGATCGATCAATCAATTGATCAACTGTGCGTAAGTAACTGAACCCCGATAAAAATTCTGAATGCTCAAGGGAGCTTCTGTGGTTGGCAATGTGCCATGCACACTGTCACACGCTGATGGGGGAGGATATGTGTCCTGATTCCACAGGGAGAAGACCACAGAAGCTTGCTCTTTGGAAATCTCCCAGCCCATGCCCGTTGCATCTCTTATTTTGGCTTTTTTAATCTGTACCTTTTCTCTGCAATAAACTGTAACCGTTAAGCCGAGGGTAGCTTGGGGAAGCCTGAACTTGAAGTTGGAGTATGAAGCGAGGGCGGTTCTGGAGACTGTGACCTCTCACTTGAAAATCTTGCTAGTTACAGCAAATACATATTTACTTATTTGCTTTATCCTACTACATAATATTTCCAGAATAACAATATCAGTATTATTACTAACGATGTAATGACTGAAGACAATCTAAGATTTCTTTGGAGTTCTTCTTTTGTCTTTTGGAAATAGAGTCAAATTTCAGATAATGGGAACTAGTTGCTCCATGTGTGGCTAAGCCATCTACAAAATGGCTTATTTAGGTCCATTTGTTTTATTTTGCTTGATTTTTAGGTATTGTCTTTTCCCTCTATTGATAAACTTTGTTTTATATTTTATGTGAACCGCGTGCATGGTTCTAAGTCAAATCTACAGAATGAGGTATATCAGAAGTCCAGCTTCTACTCCTGTCTCATTTTTATATTTTATTCTTCTTTAATGGCCCACAGTACTTCTCCGCAGTAAATCTTAAATTGTTGATAAAAGCTCTAAAGTCGGAACATTTATTGAACGTGAATGCTATTGCTAAAGTAATGCTTAAAAGAACAGGCTTGAATCTTAAGACTAAATTCTTCCTGTTTGTACTTCCTCTGTTAATACTAAGTTTTCACCAGCTCTATTTTGTATAGAAACTGCAAAGGTAAACGTAAGTTCTACACGGCTGAATTGTCACACGATCGACCTTACGGTCAGAATTCTGTTAAGTAAAATTTAATTTACTAATGCCTATAATTCAAACAGAATTCTTAACCAAGGAATGCTGACGCAGCATCGCCGGCCCACAGGTGCCGTTAGGCACAGTAGCATCCGCATATCTCGTGGGCATTTGTGAACCAAAGGGACGATGAAATCATGGCAGACGTCCTCCGTGAGCGCCCCGCAGCCCACTTCTCTGTCCTCTCGGAGCTCCCAGCCCGCAGCCCGCAGCCTGCAGCCCACAGCCCGCAGCCCGCAGCCATGCCTCTACCTCCTCTACCTCTCGCCTCAGGTGAGTCCCGCCAGTCCATGGTCTTCCGTTCCTTCCACATGCTAGAGAAGACCTTTCTCTTTAAGGTGTTATTTTTAAGTTTTAAGGGAGATCACTCGAGTACTTACCAACCCATCGGACCCATCGTTTCTGCTCTCGTTTTCCCACGTTTTGCCTCTTTAAGCAGCTCTTCTATTGCTTTCCTGATGGGAAAAAGGAAGAAATTTGAGAGGGAGTCACCCCTTAAATTCTGAAAATCAATTCACTCCATGTATGTAATCTTGGGAAAGGAACAGCTTTTGAAACATAAAATTTCAAAATTGGGAGAGAGTGTTAAAAAGAATTTTTTTAAATGGTTAGTCGTTCAAATACGTAAAAATTAAAAAGAAACTTTTTATACGAAGGAGAAAAAACAATGAAAACTAAAGACGAAATGACAAATTAAATCCATATTAAAAATGTTCAAAAGGACTTTTATTCTAAGAAATACTAATTAACCCGACGTTGATGAATCTATTTTTTGCTTATCAGTTGGCAAGGGAGTAGAGAAACGGATGTTCTTTTCTCTACTAATGGGGACCGAAGCTGCAATAACGTTTCTGGAGGGCAATCTGACAACATGATAAAGAGCCTTAAAAATAATGCATATCTAATGACCTAAAAATTGCACTTTATCCTTAAAAAAAAAAGTCGACTAAGTATGCAAAACTATATGTACAAGAATACTCATTAAACAACTTGTTAACAACTAGGGGAAAAAAACTAGAAAACTTAAATGTTTACTAAAACAGGACTGGTTAAATAAATCATGGCATATCTACGTAGCAGAAGATCTGGCAGTCGTTAAAAAGGAAGATAAATGAATACTTGGCACAGAGAGACAGTCAGAACGTATTTAGTATATAAAGGTGGATACGAAACAGTGTGTAAAAGATTATTTTATTTTAAATTTATTTGCATGTATATATTGCATAGGAAAACATTTGGAGGGATGTTATCAAAATGGTAAGACAAATTTTTCTGTGATTTTTATTTTTTAGTTTGCTTCTCTGAATTTTCTATTTTTTCAAAGGTGAATGTATTATTTATTAAATTTGTAGAGAGAGATTTAAAAACCAGAAAACATCATCCATATTGTGAGACTTTGCTATGTCTAAGAGACTGTGCAAGGTGCTATGGGTAGTAAATTAGGAGGATGATCGCCCCTGGCTCTAATATGACTTCCAACATATAAACAATAAGCCTGAGAAAAAAAGAGATATAAAGGTGCAAACAAATACAGTCTAGTGACAGAACTATAAATCTAATCGGGATGTTTTGAAACTGGATAACTATATATATTGATTCTCTATAAAAACATTTAATTACACTGTAACAGTACTACTATAGATACTATTTGTCATTTTAAAATATGAACATTCTGTTAGTTTGTAAGAATGTTTTATTTCATATTTTTATTTTATCAAGGCACACGCATAGATTAAAAGGACAACTATTATTACAATATTTATGAGAAAATACAGTGGTGTACTGCATCATCCTCCTCTAGTCACCAAAAAAAAAAAAAAAATTTTTTTTAACTTTATGTTTCTCCTTGTATTTATTCCATTTTTCTCATAGTATGTATTGAAACTATTTCATCACCCTCTTAATTTTCAACGGATATATCTATTTTTCTATAACTTGCACATTTTAAAAAATAAACTCCAATTAATAGGGAGAGCTTTAAAAAATGCCTTTTCAGCTAAAGTGGCAGGCTGACCCTTTCCGACCCATCCGGGAGGGCCCACTGACAGGGTCAGTGAAGAACGAAACACTGAGCCAGCCTGGACAGGCTCCATCGGCTTCTGCTTCCCAGCCCAGCCTCGGGAATCACGAATAGGTAAGTACATCTGATCACCACACATCCTTCCTCCACCTCCTTAAAATGATGATACATCCTACTGATGAGATCTGAGGGCTTGCCTCACACAGTATTTCATTTAAGATTTATCCTACCTCGCTCCGAAACAAACACTGAGCCAGCCTGGACGGGCTCCATCGGCTTCCGCTTCCCAGCCCAGCCTCGGGAATCACGAATAGGTAAGTACATCTGATCACCACACATCCTTCCTCCACCTCCTTAAAATGATGATACATCCTACTGATGAGATCTGAGGGCTTGCCTCACACAGTATTTCATGAAAGATTTATCCTACCTCGCTCCGAAATAGAGATCCTTTTTCACCCTTATAGATATAAGTACAAAAAAAAACAAAGGGTAAAAATATCCCAAACACCCACCACCATTCCCATCAATTAGTGTGCTAGTTTCCGAATAAAAACAGGTAGTCATCTTTTCTTCTTCTTCTTTTTAAATTTTTATTTTCCAGTTAGAGTTGGCATTCGGCACAGGCGATCAATCTGACTTGGATCTACCACGTGCTCGCTGTCCCCCTGACGACGGAAAGTTAAACACATCAGGGAAATACTTGTTTGGCCAGTTCCTCAATATGAACAAACTATGCATCAGTTATAAATAAACCAGAATGCCTTTTTTCATAAAACTGTTAAAATGTTTGGCCAGCTTTCTGGTCCTGCCCAGAAAGGCCAGTTTATGTCATAATCCAGCTGCAACGCTGCACGTCGGCAGGAAATAACGCTCCATCAGGAAGCTTGCAAAGATCCTGGACGCACATTCTACGCATCGGGCAGAGCTATAAAGTTTGATGCTGATTCTTCTGCAGTTTTGATGTCACTCAAAACTATCTCCAGCACTATTATTACCTTTATCTTCCGTAATTAAGGAAACCTTCGTATTTATGACTACAACCAAAGAGAAAAGAAGGCGTGGGTATGAGAAAGCCCGCCTGGGGTGAAACGAATTTGCCAGTGTTGAAAGATGGGACAAGGCGGGGCTCAGGCTGGGTGGGGATGACAGCCAGTCAGCCCTTCTTCTCCGGGTTAAGTCCCCAGCAAACGTGGGAAGACGTGCCCCACACCGGATGGTTGGCGTGGACCCAAGCTACGCATCTGTAACCAGTTTGACGAAACCCATGAGTTTACGGCTATACATCTTCTGATCTTTCTATTACGCTTCCAACCTCCTCCACAAACATTTGCGCAGCAAGCTCTAGAACAGACGTTTTTTTTCTCTTAATCATCAAAAGGCAAAAAAAAAAAAAAAGGCCTAACGGAGCTGCCACTGCTTCCGCTGTCATTTGAAGGGAACCAGGTGGCAGGCTGATCCTGCGGGGGCCCAAGCAGTGAGGACGGCTCGCTGTGACGTCCTAAGAATGCAGAGCATTCGCCACCTCCCACCCCAAGTTCTCGGGCACGTGCTCCTTCTGCAGGGCTCCATTTCCAAACAGGAAAATTACTTCTGGCAATCATGTGTTCTCTCCTTGAAAGACAACATCGCCTTCAAAATTAGGAGGAAAAAAACCCCAGAAAGTCAGATCATTCTCCTTACTACCACGGCCTGGAACACTTGTTAATGAATCCTCGGGGAAGGAAACAGCAAATCCAGTTCGTATTACACATCATCACAGAGGCTAAATACTTCGATTATCAAAGATTTTGAAACATCGACATCGTGACGCAAGATGATTTTTTAACGAGATGATGAAACAAGTGTAAACTAAAAGGAAAAGATAGGAAAAGCGAACAGGAGAATAAGGAAGAACAAAGGACATAGAGAACTTGAACAATTAAAAAAATTATTCAGACGTAAATTTAGTTTTAGGTACAGGAATTTTTAGAGTTAGGTCCTTTAAGCATCTAAAAGGTTTTTATGTAAAACAAATTCCTTATATTAGAATATAAAGTTCAATGCAAACAAGAAGCCCAGGAAAGCTAGGTCCTTAAGCAGACAGTTTTCTGGGCACAAGAACAAACTACAATCAATTTTCAGTGATCCGTCTGTGTGTCATCTACAGCCAACTTTCCATTCTCGCTCAGCTTCCTCAGGCCCGCCTGTTCGCTCCATTAGCCAGCTGGTACATGCTTAAGGAATGTAAACTGATCGTAATAGCAGCTTAAATAAACCCAGTGGGAATGCAAAGCTGGTGCACAATCATCTTAAAATCCCAAGTCAAATAAATTAGTTTTGAGTTATCTAGGTCCGTGTGTGTCTGTATGTGCGTGTGTGTTTTATTCACATAAATCAACTGAGAGTTAACTATATTGGTATATAGAAAGGGTAGCAAGAAATTTAAGGCGACTAAAGTGAAACAACAGAAATCGAATGGCGAATAAAATAATGAACATAAAAAGGTAAGATTTTTAAATAAATAAAATTACAGAAGGTAAATATCAAGTAATTGGTCAAAAAAGACAGCTAGATGGGTCTGCATACACTTCTTTGAGAAACGATGAAGGAAAGTGTATGGACTAAAAATTTATACACTGAAATCCTGATCCCCTAAAATCTGCTACCGTGTTCGGAGGCGGGGCCTTCGGGGTGATTATCTCAGGGGGTGGGGCCTCACGATGGGATTAGTGCCCTTATGGGAAGAGACCTCAGAGAGCTCCCTCTCGCTCTCTGTCCTGTGAGGACACCGTGAGAGGATGGCTGTCCACAAACCACACACCGAAGCTGCTCACACCTTGGTGTCAGACTCCTGGCCTTCAGAACTGTCAGAGACAAATATTTGTTGTTTAAACTACCCAGTCTACGGCGTCCATTCTAGCAGCCTGGGTGGACTAAGACTGACCATTAGATGCTTTCCAAATCATCTTTGATCGACTAACTGTGAAGTCTAGTATCTGTCACATGATGGACAGAAAAAGAGGTCCAAATAAGGCGCTAAGTCATACTCTGAAGGTCTTGTGCTCGAACGAAGCAGCCTTGGTGACAAGCGCACACACACTTAGAAGTGAGTGTGCTAGGCAGGCATCTGGCAGGCCCAGCACTTCACCAACGCCGAAGGCGCATGCTTACACCCTTGTCGCCCGCACACACTATCTACCCATCAAGGCACGGGGTAGAATTTAAGAGAAACGTCACTATGGCAATCTAAATTTCCTCCTGGAATGGAGTAATGAGGCATGGAGAAAGAAACAGGCCACGTTACTTCATCTTCAGTAAGGATGTGATGTCAGACCATGGAACATTCTGATGAAAAACTATAACAGGTGATTCGGGTCACTGCTGCTCCCTGCAAACAGCTGTGGGCCCATAGCCAGTCTGCAGACTTAGTGGCTGTGATCACATGGGTCGGCA